TACTACTCTAGAATTCTGACAACCATTTTATTTTATTGTTGTGGCAAAAACTGTTGATGGAGAAAACTATATGTAGCAGTCTCTTATCAAACCTAGATCAACGTGAAATCAGCTGAGACTTAGTGGAATTTTGAGTGGAAAGGATTTGGCGTGGTTTACAGAAGTCTGGAATCAGATAATGGAAAGAGTTGAAAAGCTGGGAGATATTTTTGTATGTTTTTATATGTTTATATGAGTGAAGTAAAGTAAATGTTGATATGAAAAAGACTGAGAGAAGACTGATGATAAAATATGAACTATTCAAAGTGTCTTTTCCCTCCTCCTTGACCTTCAGTTAAGAGAACAAATGGGTTAAGATCACTTTGACGTGTTAAGAGCACAAGGGGTGATACTTGCTACTTGACTTCTTCTATGCTTCCTGAGGTATGAAAGATGTTGATGGGCCACCTGATTGAGATCACACTGTTGGATTTTAACTTAAGTTTGACTTGAAGACTCTGAGTGAGGTGTGTGTAGCTGGTAGATGTGCCGGATTGGCATGAGGAACTGATCTGAGGAGGGAGAAATGACCTCCTTATATAGTAAATTGTGAGGGATTTTAGCTAGTGAGGACTTCCTGTGAGGGATTTATGCTGGTGTGACTTCTTCTTTGAGGGATTTTAGCTGCTTGGAAGCTTCTATTGAGCCATTTTTGCTGGTGTGTCATGTGATCTGCACTGCCACATACAGAAAATCACACGTGTTGCGGAATGTTCTTTCTATGTTGAGACATTTTTGCTGGTCTATTGTGAAACTACGTGTGATCCAAGCGTGTGGCTGGTGATGTCATGTGAAAATATGTGTGATCCAAGCGTGTGATCATGCATGTGACTAAACATGTGATCATACATATGCCTCTACAAACAAAGATTACAACTATGCACTTATATATAAATCTATACTGTGTACTACCCAGGACAACTATACTATGCTGTAATGACAAAAACTGATTTATCCAAATAACTTTTGACTGAGTGGAGCTAGCCTAGTGGTTCCAGTGAGTGACTATGGGTTAAATGACCTGTAGAGTCTAATGAAGTAATAATAACACCAAGAATCTAGCCTATTATCAAGAGTGGATCATGACTTTATGCAATTTGGTACTTGAAACACATTTGGCACACTACACCGCCCGCACCCGCCTCACACCCGCCAGGCGGTGCCGGGTTTTTGGCAAAAAATGAGGCGGTACCCGGGTACCGCTACAGGTACCACCCCACAGCCCTGCTATAGGGTGGGGGGAGGGAGGGGGATTAGCTGCACCGGTCTGGATGAGCTGATCGGTCGATCAATATCAACCGACCACACGCCAAAAAAACAACCTTCGACCACTCCCCCCTGGACGAACCAATTGATTGATCCGTATCGACCGATGCAACCTGAGAACCAATTGATCAATGATAAAGCGTCTGTCCTTTTCTCCGTCTCTCTCCATTTGTTCTCATGAACTCAAACATTTTATTTTGACGCATCTCATCATGTTTTCTTTTCTTTTCTTATTTTTTTTTGATCAGTCGGTCTACACCTAATCTTAGTAAAAGGTTGATTTGGGATGGTCAATCATATTCTTGTCTTAAGAGCATCCAAAAGATCCTGTCAAGAAAGTAAGAAGCTGACATTTTTTGACGGAAAAACCTGCAGAGCCATTCTTTTTGATTTTATCACCCCAATACGCGGGATATGATTTAGAGACACATTACAACCAGCTGTCGAGGTATTTGGATGAAGCGATGGGAGGAGGAGGAGGAAGAGGAGGGGGAGGGGCATTAGAGAATGGCAAGGAATGGAGGCGGACAATGGAGCACCCAATGAACTGGCGTCTGATGCTGCCGAAACGACGAAAAAAAAACAAAGGCAAAAAAAACCTACCACCTCGACAAGAGACCAATCGTCAAACCAGATGGCTTGCGCCCGCAACCAACGGAGGTCCAAAGAGTCTCGCTCCTCGTCGCCAATGTGCGACCCCCAAGCAGAGAGGGAGTCGAGGTGGAAGCAAAGGCTGCACCCAGCCACCTTCTGCAAGCAATCCCCAGCCCCCATCCGCAAGCAATCAAGTGCAGACCAATCATGAGGGGGCCAGGTAAGTCCTCCCTCTCTCTAGTACTACAAATTCATGTTTTCTTGATTGTTTTTCAGCAATTTGCTGATGTTTTTCTTGACTTTTTTTATTTTTTATTTTTGAACTCTTACAGGTAATTCTTACCTTTTTTTTTCAGCATTTTGCTGATGCTTCATTCCTTTTTTTAATTATTCTTTTGAACTTGGGCAACTTGCTGATTTTTTTTACTTCTTTTTATTATTATTTTTGAAATTTTATAGGTAATTCTTACATTTTTTTCAGCATATTGCTGATGTTTCATTCCTTTTTTTTAATTATTCTTTTGAGCTTGGACAACTTGCTGTTTTTTTTTTTACTTTTTACTTTTTTATTTTTTTTGAACTTTTGAACTTTTATAGGTAATTCTTACATTTTTTCAGCATATTGCTGATGTTTCATTCCTTTTTTTTAATTATTCTTTTGAGCTTGGACAACTTGCTGATTTTTTTTTACTTTTTACTTTTTTATTTTTTTTTGAACTTTTATAGGTAATTCTTACATTTTTTCAGCATTTTGTTCATGTTTCATTCCATTTTTTTTTTTTTGAATTTTTCTTTTTCCAATTAGTTATTAGTTGCAGATAGTTTTCAATAATTATGAAAAAAAGAAAAAAAAAGTGACTTGTCTGGCCGTCAAATCAATAATTTTCAACGAAATGAAAGAAGTGACTAAGAAAAGGAAAAGGTGACTTTAAAAAATTAAAAAAGTGACTTGCAACTCTGGGAGTAAACACTGAAAACAGTGAATAAATATGAAAAAAAATGAAAACAAGTGACTAAAAATGAAAAAAAGAGAATTGGGACTCTAGGAGAGAAAACAATAAATATGAAAAAAATACAAAAAGTGAATTGGGACTGTGGGAGTGAATCTAGGTGAGAAAGAGAGGGGAGGTATCCACAGTACCCGCCAAAAGTACCGCCGGTACCCGCCGGGAGGTGCCTGGTGCGGTACTTGGTACCTATTTTCTGAAAAAATTCAACAGGTACCCGAGTACAAACGAACAATCTCTAAATGAGCACGAAAAGAAATTCTTAGACAAAATAGATGATGCAATGTGCAAACAATTTCCAAACATTATGGGTAAAGTAATGATAGTCAGTGGAAACACACAACTTTATCTTTGCTACCATTACAGGTTTTGTAACTACCCAGTGTTGGCATTACCTGGTGTCTGTTTTTGGCTAAAAAACAGACCGTCTGAGTCAAATTTGAACCCTAAGTAATCAGCTCTTCTCAACAATTCATGTCTCTACAATGATTTCTTCTCTTTCCTGATTTTTTTGATTGATTTACTAAAGACTGATTATTTAGAATTAACGACTCTAAATATCTGTGGATTATAGCATGTTTTTCCTTGATCAACTCCTCTGGCTTGACTAAAAGTGACTGAGAAGCCCTGTCCGTTTCGTTTCTTCCAAAGACTCATGTTTCTTCCTCTCAGTGCTTTATTCAATATGTTTTTTTGTTATTCATTTCTCATAACCACTTGTTCACCACTTGTACATAGTCTATTTAAACCTGACTAGATATATTACTAGTGAATAAAGAATGTCGACCGGTACCCATTTGGTGGTACCCGGCACCCGTAGGAGGGTACCGCCGGCACCCACCCCGCACCCGCCAGGCGGTGCCGGATGCGGTCCCGGGTGCCCATTTTTTGGAAAAAAGCGGTGTGGTACCCGGGTACCGCCTGACCCCCGGGGGAAAGCGGGTATCCTGTAACGTTTGAGAAATTCTAGATGTCGGTCATGGCTTGAGGCTGGTAGGTCATGGCTTGAGGCTGGTAGAGGTGGTTCATGAGCGAGCTCTTCAACGGCAGATCTAGTGTCATGGAGTGTTGCCAAAGGTTCTGATAAGATTTTTGTGACGGGTTATTTGGACCGCTCGGTGTTGTTGCTCTTGAGCTTGAGCTAGCTTCCGATCCCAATTGCGATTTTTCCAAAAAAACCCGGCAGGTACCGCTGGTACCCGCCTGAAAGACCCGTGGTACCCGCCAGGCGGTGCCAGATGCGGTGCCGGGTGCCTGATTTTGGAAAAAAACACGCGGGTACCGGCAGTGCAACCGGTACCCGGGTCCATTTTGACATTCTTTACTAGTGAATAAAAAACATTGGTTCTTTGCACTCTTTTTCCGTGAGCCCTTCCCAAAAATAAGATCCTCTTTTTTTGGCCCTTCACCTCTTACATGCTTTGGTTCAAAATTTCAACAGATTGATACCTGGGTATCCTCAAGGGTACCACTTCAAGCCCCCCTGTCTAGCCACCCAAAGCTGGGTACCTACACAGCTCCAGGGCATATGATTTGATATCAGAAATTACTGCCAGTACCAGCCAGCTGGCAGCGGGTGCAGTAACCGGTGCTAGTTTTTGGCTCACTGGGTCCCACAGGCCATCTTTGATTGAAATAGAAACTTATGTCCTCTATTCACCTCATCTTCTAGCAATCTACTTTATGATTTATGTGTACATACTATGGAATTGATATTGATACTACATTATAGGGGATCACAATGATGTTTTTTGATTCTTGCATGCTTGTTTATAAGCTCAACTAGTCTAATTTTAGATTGAAATTGATTTCAATTTTTACCCACTGATTTATTTTAACAACTATCTGAAACCACTAAAGGTTGCTCAGATGTATGTAAGGCCTAAATAAACTCCCTCAGAAGAGTTTGTGTGTCTTGCTTGCACCTCCAATTAGATTTGAGGTGGAAAAGGCTTGATGCAGCAAGTTGAAATTGCTGTTCAAGAACTGCTATATTTGGGTTAGCTCCACTATTGAAACTGAGATGCTTGGCTATCCCCACCTGTTAACCCTGAAATGTGTTGTTCATTTTCAAGGAAGGCTGAAAAAAAATCATCAGTGAGGCCTCATTTGGCCCCAGTATAATTGAGCAATATTGATGTGTCAATTCTTGTGACATCTGATCAAGTCTTGGCAGGCCTGATCAGATGTCATGTAAGATGTCAGGCAAAAATCTTCATATATGTCAGCTGGCAAGCAAAATACAGTTACCCCTTAACTAGTCAACTGAGTATTTTGCTACACCAACTGCACTTCATACATTTCAAACTCATTTCACTCATTTTCTTATTCATTTCACTCATTTCATTATTAACATCTACATATAACTAAAAAAATAGCCTCAGAGGGCCAAACAAACCGTCAGGCTTGAATAGTGCTTTCTATTGATTTCTCATGCGGCTTCTAACGCCGGCGTCGATATTTCACATTTCAATGTCATTTCTGACATTCACTAAGACTTTACAATCATAGCAACCTTCAAAATCGAAGGCTATTACACCATAGGACCTTAAACAAGTAAAACCCCCAACATCCGGGGCAAAAACAAGCAGCCTCCCCAAATTTGGGGGCATATACTAGTACACTACATATGCTTGTATCTAGTTGGCCTTGCCAAGCCAGATATATAAAGTTGTACGGACTGAAGTCTATTGTTCCTCAGACTTTCAGAAGAGAAGAAAATAATAACATCATTTTTATTTAACCATTCCTCTTGAGCTCAAAGATACATCAACAAATCACTACTTTAAGCTTGCTCGACCCTCTCACATCAACACATCACTGTTTGAATCTTCGAGCCTGAACTTCTCAAAACTTATCAACGGCCTGGGCGTAAACTCTTTGGATCATACCAGCTTCCTTCTACGAATCGGAGCCACTGGACAACTCCAGTAAACTTCCGTCGAGCGGAAACTAGTGACCTCGGAGTAACCCACCGCTGAAAATTGGCGACCACCCCTTATACCTGTACACCTGGACAGCCTGTGCAGACGGAACCCTTGCTTCACGAGGCTTCATCCTTTTTTTTGGTTTTTTTAAGAAGAATAAACTCTGGTTCAACCTTTCAGATTAACACAGATAAATCATAATCGTTTTGGTATCCCTTGTCGTTTCTTGGTCATCAAGCCTGAGGACAAACACCTCTCCCATCCCTTATACTCTTCTCATCTCTTCATCAAGCATCATCTCTGGACCAAACGTTTGGTATCATCGCTGGTTATCCCTCCGAACAGATTTTGGTCCAAACTACAGTTCTCTTTTGGAATCAGAATCCAATCAGTCATTGCTGTTTCTCTCTGGTCTTCTGTCAATCCCTTTTGATTACCACTTCCGATATGTCAGAAGTAGCGGTCCTCCGCGAGGAACTCTCTAACTTAAGGACTCGGCTGGAGACCCTTGAATCAAGACTTACAATGATACCTTCGGCTCCCATCCAATTATCAAGTCAACTATCAAGTTGCAGACTGGCGAAAAGCAAGGAGAAGCCAGTAGAAGGCGAGGAAGCGATCTCGCGTGTGTCATTTAAACACCCAAGGAAGTCTAGCTCATATACAAAGACGGATTCTCAAACGCTCCGTAGTTGCTCCTTCAAAGTTATGAGGCACCTCATCAACATAGTAGATCTCTCGCATGTTGAAGACGTTGCCAGCAGGCCGAAGAAAGTACAGAGTAATGTATACACCTCACATGATTCAACTACGTTTTGTTCTCCAGCTACAACAAATCCTAAGACTAAATCAAGGATGCCATCGCGGAAGGCTGTAGCTCCATTGAGTCATCGAAAGGAGTCTCTTGTCTTGGCTGACTCGCTTCATCCGACTACTGACTTGCAAGCACCAGAGACAAAGTGTACCAAGAAAGACAGCTCGCGCAATCCAATTGCCTCGATTTCACCAGCAACAAAGTCGAAAGCCTCAACAGAACCAAAGAAAATGATAAGCTTGCCACTGAAGGAGTCGACAGTTCGGTTGACTAGTTGACAGGACTCGAGTGTATCATCTATATCCCTTCAGCCAATGACCAATCTCCGACCACAAGTGGAACCAAAATCGATGGCGAAGCGTCTTACACCACATAACAACCCGGAAAGTACTCCCAGTACAAGCTCTGCAACCCCCTGTTGCTTGCCTCCGAAAGGACCTCACCAAGTCAAGCTCTCAAACGACTTGCCTACTGAAGACAAAGGAGAAAACTGCAACAACTCCCAAGCTACAGCTGAGATTTCTACTGTCACAAGGACACCAGGAAACATCCTGCCCAAAGTTTTGGCATATGACAACCTCCAACTTCGCTGTGGAAGATTCTCACTCCTCAAGCACGACCCTGCTATGCTAGATCTCCTGCCAATATCAGTCAAAGAGAAATGATTCATTAAAACTTCAACAGTGACAGATATAGAAAATTTACAAAAGGCTTCAGAAATTTTAGTTGAAAGACAAGTGCTTGGTATTTGGGAATGGAAAGCAGGTACCTCAAGAGCTACACTTCACGAATACAAGACACCTGAACTTGGGACTACTATAAGCAACAGAAGATTTAAGTTTGTTGGATTTGCATGGAAAGGTGCTTTAGGACAACAGCCCCCAAGAATAGAAGAACTTCATGAAGACATCTCACAAGGGGCCGACACTCTCCGATGGTATTGGTTCAAGGATCTCTGGTTACTTTTTTACTTTGATTAATTTTTCTCAAATGATAGCTTCATCATTTTTTTTTCTGTTTTTTTTAGTAGTAGCAAATGTCAGCTGGCAAGCAAAATACAGTTACCCCTTAACTAGTCAACTGAGTATTTTGCTACACCAACTGCACTTCATACATTTCACACTCATGTCACTCATTTTCTTATTCATTTCACTCATTTCATTATTAACATACTCTACATATGCTTGTATCTAGTTGGCCTTGCCAAGCCAGATATATAAAGTTGTACGGACTGAAGTCTATTTTTCCTCAGACTTTCAGAAGAGAAGAAAATAATAACATCATTTTTATTTAACCATTCCTCTTGAGCTCAAAGATACATCAACAAATCACTACTTTAAGCTTGCTCAACCCTCTCACATCAACACATCACTGTTTGGATCTTCGAGCCTGAACTTCTCAAAACTTATCAACGGCCTGGGCGTAAACTCTTTGGATCATACCAGCTTCCTTCTACGAATTGGAGCCACTGTACAACTCCAGTAAACTTCTGTCGAGCGGAAACTAGTGACCTCGGAGTAACCCACCGCTGACAATATATCACTCACATTATATCACTGCCAAACAAGACCTGAAAACAGCATATATAATTGGAGGACTTTTTATTGTCTAAATTTGTTAATTTAGAAGGAAGGGCCAAAGCTTATTTGCTGGTGAAAATCATTTGAACTCAAGATTTCACCAGCAAACAAAGTTTAGCCAGTCCCTCTAAATCAAGCCACCTGCAATGGGAAGTCCTCCATTGGAGGACTTCCTTTGATTTTACAGCCCCCTGTAAATCTATTTTTACAGGCCGTACAACCATTGGAAGTCTTCCCGTCGAATTTACAGCCCCCTGTAAAGCTATTTTTACAAGCTCGTGAAACCGTTTTCCCAGCGAAAAATTAGCTTTACAGCCTGTAAATCTAGCTTTACAAGGCCTGTAAAACCCACGGGAAGTCCTCCATTTTCCCAGCAAAAAAAATTACAGTCTGTCAAACTGACAGCAAGTCCTATGTATCATGAAAGTGCCCAGGCAAAAATTCCAAACACAGGGACAGTTGGCTTAGGTTGTCTCAGATTTTTTGCACGTTGTAAGACTCAAAAAGTGATTGTAAGATCCTTTTTGCTGAATGGAGAAAGGGATGAAATGAGCTGCAAACTCTGCCTTTCTATATTATCAGAAAACAAGACCACCAAGGTAAGCTTGGCAGTTTGGTTGGTGATAATGGATTATGTTCAAAGATGGTTGTATAATTGTTGAAGGTTGATCTTGTTGTCCAAAGAATTGATTGAGTTGGTGATGTTGTTTCTCGTCTTGATGTCTTGATACTTGTGTTCTTCCTTAATGCTGTATATGTAATAGAGGTGGTTCTTGAACCCAAAGGGTCTGGGAGCACTATGCTTCAACCAGGACTGGAACAAAGGACTGGTTCTTCTGTGTAATGCTTGTGAAACTGTGTATATATTTTAACTGTGAACTGTACTACTTGTGAACCTCTTGTGTAATAAATATCTGTGACAGGTGTCCCACCAAAAATGTGTACTGAGTGGGATGAGGAGGGAAACAACTGGCAGGCAGAGGCCTCCTTATATAGTAAAATATGAGGGATTTTAGCCCCAAGGGACCCCTGTATGAGGCATTTTAGCTGCCCTATCCTTGTAAATCCTGAGGGATTTTGGCTAGACTATCTACAACGCATTCCTTTTATATGTAAGCTGTAAGAAAGGAATTCATGTGTTCTGTGGCTGAATAAATGGGAATTTAACTGGTACAACTGGTGGCCAACTTGTGGTTCTGTAAGTATAAAAGGAATTCAATATGGATAAAAGGAATTCAATATGCAATATGCAATATACCCTCCAGCTGAGTGCCTCTGATCCTGTGATCCTCCGTGTGACATCCTTGATTCTGCGTAACTTCTGATCCAGTAGAGATATGAAGGTGGTTCCAGTGAGTGACTAGGGGTTAAATTGGCCGTAGATTCCATTTCTGAAGTCCATCTGTCCATATCTTGAGCCCTTCATTGATAAATAATAAATTTTTGAATTTTCTTCCTTTATACACAGGAATAATGACCACATCCTCCCCCAACTTATTGACTGTCCCCAGTCAATTCTGATTTTATGACTGTGTTTGAAGGCTAACCTTGTGTATTTTATATGGTAGAATCTAAATTTAGATGATATAATTATAATAATAAACTCTGATAATTTTTATGTTTATTTTATTTTTGTGGCTAAATTTGGTTGAGACTGGGAATTGAACAGAGGAGCCTTCTTATTTCTCAGAATTTTACTCCTTGTGTGAGAATTGAACCCAGGTCTGTGTTGTGTATAAAATTTGTTCAAGGGTGGGAGTGGAACCCATGTCCTTGGTATTGATTTGTGTGGAGCTGTAGATTCTGCCTAGTTGGGGACTTGAACTGAGGTCCTCCTGGCTGACTTCAAATTTGAAGGGTTTGGATTTCCTGGTTGTGGTATATCTTGCGCACCGTTCACAGACCCTTTCACAGGTCTGGATTATTTACTAGTTTGAGCCGGCCCGGTATCTCTTGGCCCGGTATCTATCGGCCTCCTATCAGCTTAGCCGACTTCTTTTGATCAGCTCGCTCTGGATAATCCAATCTCCCTCTAACTTAACCCGCCAACTAGTCGATTATTGGATCTTCATATTAGGTAAGTACCTCCTCCTCATAGCTTCGTCCGCTGTTCTTTAGTGTCTTTGTCTCAGATATCCAGCTTGACGCGAGGAACCCGCCATCCCAGTTATGTACTAGCTCGAGCCAGCCCGGTATCTACCGCCTATCCTCCTATCAACTGCCTCTCAATCATTCACCCGGCCATCGGCCTCTCGACCGGTCTTCTCGACAATCTTCTCGACGCTGGGATCCTCGAAATTTGTAAGTTTTGTTCTGTTTGTTTACCCCGCGCTAATGTTTTTCGTTTTCGTCTTTGCAGATTATTCCTTGAACTGGCCGCGCGGTCTTCCACTTCAACTATCCTGGCCATACCCTTGCCTTCTCGTCGATCTTCTTCGGGAATCTTCTCGTCTTCTCAAACCCGGCCCGGTATCTCTCAACCCCCTATCCACTACAGTCTACAACGATGGCTTCAATCTGCCTCAAGAACATTTTGATTGACCCGCTCTGGATTATCCAACCCGGTCTAAATTCGCATTGGCCGACTAGTCGCGAATTGGATCTTTGTCCCAAGTAAGTCCCTCCTCACTTTTCCGTTTTTCTTTCAGTTGTACTCATAGCTTTGTCCGCATTTCTCTAGTTGTACTTGTAGCTCGACATTCTTCTCATCTGTTGGTCTTCCCTGCTAGTCGTAGTTCCGCCCTCTGTCGACGAGGGACTTTTCTAGTGAAACTCGCCGCGGTCGATTCCTCAACGTCTATCCCAGCCTCCTGGATCTATCCTTATACTGGCTCCTCGTCTCTTGCAGGCTTGGCCCGGTAGTGTGTAGTCCGTTTGTCTCGTTGATGGAATCTGCAAATCTCGAGCTCCTATCGACTACGCCGATGGCCTCCCTCTATCTCGTAGCAACCGCTCGACCGTCCCACCTTAACCTGCTTCATCGCCGATAAATCTATCCCCACTACTTGCTCCTCCGATTGACCCGCGTATTCTTTAGCCATGTTTGTCTCCGGCCCGGTAGTGTGTAACCTAAACAAAACCATCGGCCCAGCAATATCCCCTCGAATTATAGCACTTATCCTTCAAGACCGTCATCGATTGAACATCAAAGGAATTCAATTTGATAAAAAAATGTTTATATGCAGTTTCTTCCTCGGGGAATCAATGGGGTCCCCCGGGAAAACGATTCGACTTCAACTCTTCCCCTCCCCAACCTCCTGCCTATATAAAGGACTCGTCCTTTGCTTCAGTCTCCTCTTCCCCCAACTCCATCATCACTTCTCCCCTTCCTTCTCAACTATCCCCTCCATCAGTTCTCGCCTTCGCTTCCTGTACAGACTTCACCCCTTGTTGATAGAACTAAACCCCAAAACCGGTTTTGTATGTTGATTTCCAATACTAGTTTAAGTAATCATGGCTGTTGTATTATTGACCGATCCGGTTTTAGACGTTAAAAGACTGATCCTGGTATACTCTCTTTGATCTCTTCGTTAGATCGATAGATTGATCATCTTAACTGCCTCATCGCTGGTTTTGAGTGATGCCAGACCATTATTGTTTGTTGATAAAAGAATCCAGTCGCTTTCTTGTGATGCTTGATAATCCAAAGGTAAGGTTTCTTGCTCGTTCCAAACTGTAGGGTCGATCTGGTCGCTTGTTTTGTGCTGGTATTGATTCAAAACGAGTAAATTAAGTCGCTTCTTCCCCCCAACCTCAAATGATGTTGTAGTCGAATAAAAACTTGTATATAAGAAATTGAAAGAAATCCTTTGATGTTCATCCAACTGAATTTTTAAGCAATCATCCATGTGTCTAGTCCTCCTTAACTGAAAAATTCAAGCAAGGCTTATCTAGAAATATCTTGATATAAGAGACGTTGCAGAGTAAAAAAATTTAAATTTTGAAATTTGATAATGGAAAGACAAAGAAACCCCCTCCCCCAACTTAAATGGTTGTCCTCAACCATTCCTGAACAGAAAAAATTAAGAAACTTATTTCAAAATTGAGTTCATAAGAAATGAATCTCCTCCCCCAACTTATCAAAA